AAAGAGGCCAGTCGGAGCCAAATTGATCTTGAAGAAATTCAAGTGTCAACAAACATGGAATCTGATGTTGACACTAGTGCTCAACAATATGTTGCAAAACCTGCAGTTGTTGAGCCTCAACAAAGAGTTATCGCGTTGTTGAGCCTCAACAAAGAGTTATCGCGGGTCTGATAGTGCGTCGTGCACCAGAAAGATATAATTTACTTATATCTGATTGATGGTGATGATACAGAGGTAGATCTTGATGAGCCTACCAGTTATCACGAAGCCATGGCGGGCCTGAGGCCGCTAAATGGAAGGAGGCTATGGAGAGTGAGGTGCAATCCATGTATGATAATCAAGTCTATGACTTGGTTGATCAGACACCTAGTCAAAAGTAGTGGAGTGTAAATGGATCTTTAAGAAGAAGACCAACATGGATGACAAAGTACACACGTACAAAGCCAGATGGCAAAGGGTTACATGCAAACTCATGGTATAGACTATGATGAAACCTTCTCGTCAGTGGCTATGTTGAAATCCATCAGGATATTCATTGCCATAGCAATGTTTCATGACTATGACATATGGCAGATGGATGTAAAAACCGCTTTCCTTAATGGTAAGCTATCGGAGGATGTGTTAATGACACAGCTTGAGGGTTTTGTACAGTCTGAACATCCTGATAGAGTGTGTAAGCTTCAGAAGTCCATTTATGGACTTAAGCAAGCTTCTCGCAGCTGGAACATCTGCTTTGATGAGAAAGTTAAAGAATTTGGATTCATAAGGAGAGAAGATGAACCATGTTTATATGTCAGAACTAGCATTAGTATTGTAGTCTTCCTTGTGCTGTATGTAGATGACATACTCCTCTGGGAAACGATATCCCTACTTTGCAAAGTGTGAAAACTTGGCTAGGGAAACATCTTTCTATGAACGGCATGGGAGATGCAACATACATACTGTGATACTGGACATCAAGATCTATAGAGATAGATCCAGACATCTTATTGGTCTAAGCCAAAGTACCTACATAGACAAAGTGTCGAAAAAATTCAACATGCAGGACTCCAAGAGGGGTTCATTTTTATGCAGCATGGTATGGCATTGAGCAAGGCTCAGTGTCCTAATTCTAGTTCAGAGCTAGAAAGGATGAGTCTGATTCCTTATGTCTCGGCTATAGGATCGATCATGTATGCCATGATATGTACTAGACGTGATGTGTCGTATGCTTTGAGCATGACGAGCCGATATCAGACCAATCCTAGCAATGACCATTAGACAGCAGTGAAAAACATCCTCAAGTATTTGAGACGAGCTAAAGAAATGTTCTTGGTTTACGAAGGTGTGGAGGAACTCAGTGTAAAGGGTTACACTGATGCTAGTTTCCAAACATATAGAGATGATTCTTGCTTGCAGTCGAGATTCGTTTTCTTGTTGAACGGTGGGCAGTCTAGGAGAAGCTCCATGCAGAGCACCATAGCAGATTCGACAATGGAAGCCGAGTTACACTCAACGAGGCTGCAACAGTGCTCTTGTGGATGAAGAAGTTCATCAGGGATCTTGGCGTAGTTCCTAGCATTCATGATCCTATAGATCTTCTGTGACAACGAGGGTGCAGTCATCCTGGCTAAAGAACCCAAGTCACATAAGCGCACACAACATATACTCAGGAAGTTCCATTACATTCGGAAGGTTGTCGAGGTTAGACACATCATCGTTATTAGAGTTAGCACGGATGGGAACTTCGTTGATCCATTCACCAAGCCCTTTATCACAGACCAAGGATGATGCTCATACTAGGTCTATAAGCATTAGATTTGCTAGCGATTTGGCTTGACTACATTCATTTTAGTTGATTTGAGATTGCGGAACTTATACACTTGTTTTATGATGTATTGATATTATGATTGAGATTTTAATATATGCTTGGCAAATGCTATCATTCGGTGCATTATTGATGTTCTAGTTTGCATGTTTGTTAACTTCCTTGAACAATTAGTTATAGCATAGAGATGCAACTATACACTCACATGTATTTGACAGAGATCAAGTATTGGAATAACTCGCACTTAGAGATTGCTTCATGGATCATGTCACAAGCAATTCTAAAATGGTAATATCTACTATCCCCAAGTAGAGATACATGTGATTCCTGACACGAAGTCTGTTATGCTTTGATGTTTCTCCAACGTTGTCCGTAACAGGCGGCTATAAAGAGAAACGTTGGGTGTAGCATGATTAGTGGGTAGGAGATCTATGTAGTCAATACTGTTTTGTTCCTTTTATCTTGTGATAAAAGCGATATCCATGGGTCCCTCGATGATTTGGTGCTGACGCTGAATGTATACATATTCAGATCAATCTTCGAGTCTATCTCTGGGTCACCACGAATCTTTATTGAGAAACATAATGGTGAACGATCTGCAGATTGACTATTTTCCATGTCTCACATTCACACGGATATCTGTAACAAAGAGATATCTGATCAATTGCCTATAGGACTGTTTAATGCAGAAATGGAGTCTTGGATGACGTACCTCATGCTGACGTAAGGGGCAATGTTATATTGCTAAATACTGACCGCTGTCAGTATTACTATGCAGTTATTGTGACATGTGCAAGTGGGAGTCTGTTGGAGATATGATCATAGACACAACAAAATAATGATACTATTAATTGCATGGGCCTATTAGGTAGCACATAAAGTTCAACCCAAAAGCAAGAAATAATATTAGAGGGTTTGAATAAGTAATTAAATAAAAGTATTAATTAACTAAAAGTATTAATTAATTACTAGAAGGACTGATTGGTACTTAGTCTAAACGTATTAGGGTTTAGATGAGATTGGGCCTTATTTAAAGGATGCTAATCCCTAAACCTAAACCTAACCCTAATCTTGTTTTAATCTCTTTTTCCTCCCTTCTTAAAAACAACGCCCAACCTCCCTTCCCCTAAGGTTTTTTGGCCTAAATCTCCATATCATACACATAATAGGATTAAAGTGTGGTGCTTTTGGTGATTACACAAGAAGAGTAGGCGATTTCTTGCTGCTTACAAGTGATTAGAGCTATGGGGTGTGCACGTGATAGAGAGACTCTTACTATTGGATTTTTCACCATCATCCACAGTTTTTTTCTTATCATTTTCTATGTTTGTTTTGGTTACTTGTATCTGATTATAACCAGATCTCTGGAAGATTGTGTGTTTCGGTTAATTTTGCTTCCGTTGTTTTGTTTAAAATATGGTTTTTTTGATAATCACACAATCTAACACAAAGAACATGTACTCAAGAGACTACAATGAGCTTAGGAGAAATGTGACGTCTAGGGTGGATGTGTGGTCATGCAGTGGCCAATAATACTAGAAATGATGATATGTGAAGCAAGGTTGGGGAAAACCAGTTGAGAAGCCAATGCAATACCTCTTGAGATAGCTTGGTCATAGGGACGTGCCTTTGTTTAGATGACATACCAAGAAGAGGTCATTAGTCGAGTTAGAGGTTGATTAATACTGACATAGGAAGTAGTATAAGAGATTTGAGTGAGGATTATATAATATATAGTTGGCCATAGATAGGAGTGCGTAAATTCAAGTCTTGTGACAGGGAAAGGCCTATCAGCCTAGTATTGGATGATCAGCCTAGGCCTTAAAAAACTTTCCAACGTAGAAGGAAGGATCACAAGACAGGTGTGGGTGGGGCTGATATGAGAAAGGTTGTTATGCATGCTCATGGGGGAGAGAGAATACTATATATAAGGGTATGTGTATATCTTTCTGTTGAGAGCATTCGGCTATTGTTAGCTTGGGCAGGAGGGTTGGCCTATTGCTGGTTCCCTTTTGATTTTGTTCATCTTTATCTTTTGAATTTCAATCAACCATTAGTTCAATTCCTCTCTTTTAGTTTCATAGATTGAATATTCTGTTCAAGGTTCTATTATCTTGTTACTTGTAGATTTAGGGGGTTCACTCTTTACAATTCTACTAGTTGTCTACCATGCGATGCAGCGGGATGTAAAACTTTATTGTAACCTAGAACTTAAAATTAATGCAATTCCTTGTAAATAAATAAAAAAATTGATCCAAAATTTATGTTTGAAATAAAATAGAAATTACAATAATCTGTGATATAAAGGGAACAAGTGATACGAAGTTTCCAAAACCCATGCACCTTATATTCGTAACTCTTAATGCATTACTGATTTATTCTTGATACTTTATAGATGAAGTACTCTCGAAATTTAAGATGTTTACCTAACTATAGTCTTTCGAAGTAGTTGTTACTATGATATTTAGTGCCATGGTAGAAATTGACGTCATGTGGTTTGACCTTACCCTAAAGATGAGTAAATCGTTATATATAAAATAAATATGTGACAGAGCATTAAGATAGAGTAAAGCACACAAGCAACTAAAGACAGAAAGAACTAGAACAGACACCTCTTGATTTCCAAACTTAATGACAGCAAGCACTTTCAGGCCTCTATGTAATTGTTCCCAGAAATCAATTAGAACCATGACCATGTGGATATCCAAAGAGATTGGCATATCTTTCCAGATCCTATAGGCTTTTGGGTTGCGTGTAATTAGGGGCCGTTAACACAAATGCATACACGGTAAGGTAGGTAAGATTCAGCACTATCACTTACCTTACCAGGTAAGATTCTAGCCCATCAAAACGGCACCATATGCAACAATTTACCCGGTAAGCACTAACCGATAAGAGTAGTCACTCTCACTTACCAAGTAAGATTCTCGGTCCTTGCCATGGTTCTGATCAGATAAGATTATTGGTCCTTGCCATGTTCATCCAGTAAGGTAAGTGACCCGGTAGGCGCTTACCAGGAAAGCGTTTGGTAAACAGCCCCTTACTTATGGTACTTCTAGCTTTTTTCTTGAATCCACTTCTTTTGTTACGAAATAAAATGGTAAAGAAAAGAAAAAAAGAACTAATTCTACTATGAACTCATAATCTAGTGCTTTCTATATTAAAGATTCAAGTAACAAACTCTTTCACTTACATTGCAGGTAGTCCAGTGCAATTTGAAGGGAGCAAAATTTTCAACAGGAAAGGTATTCCTTCAGTCTGTATGGCACCTGGTACGTAACAGATATCAGAATATATCACGATGGTACCGGGTACGGAAAAATGAGAAAGCCTAAGAGATAAAAGCTAACCAATTTGTGAGGCTGTTCCAAGATGCAATGGACGAGGCCTGTTTTCTGAAGCAACGGTGACATTCCTAAATGTGACCTTTTTATCAAGACCATAGAGCTCTTTTACCTGAGGTTACAACATAAATGGTAAACTATGTATGTAATTGTAGCATCGGTATCATTGAGAGATGCAAGCATAACAATACATAGAAAGTATATATATCAAACCCTGAATAAGATCTCGTTAACCATATCCCCTTCTAGCCATTCAAAGTTTCTGCCATTGCATTCTGCCCACAATAGCCCACCTTCACCAAACTCTCTCCAATTAGAAGTCCCTGTTAAAAAGATAGTGGCAATATAAATGATTAGTTGATGATTCTTAGGTTTTGTACAAATTTGACTGGGGGAAAACTTGAGATGAAATCAATCACACGGAGTGAGGAAGTTTTCATAATTCACTTGAAAACACCGTAGGTGTAAGACTATCTCCTCTATATATGGAACTAAAGACTTAAAAGAAACAAGGAAAAAGAGTTAGCATAAGAGCATCCAACCTGGGGCCAAGGCAATGGGAAAAAATAGATCTAAGTGCTTATACTGTGATATCTATTTCTAATTTCATTTAGACTTCACCATGTCCAACATGCAATATAGTATTGATTAGATTTATGTTATTGCCATAATTTGTAGCACTCACCTGAAATTACATCCAAGGGATTCCATATATACAATTTAAAGCACAAAGGGATATCTTTGGCTGCTAGAGAACTAAAAGAAAGCAGATGGTGATGACATGGCAACTCTTCTAAACATGTCCTCTACAACCAGGATGGAAAATACCTGAAGAATTGTTCTTCAATGATTTATGGAGAAACAAATGATGGTAATGACAAGTACGAAGCTTGGTAACTAATGCTTCTTCAGTTAAGCTGTCCTCTGAAGAGAATGTCTTCATAGTCTCCAACACTGAAACCATGCAGTACCCTTTTGCCGAACGTGACACACCTAGAAAGTACCAGACGAGCAAAAGAATGTAAGGTTCAACATTAAACAGTGTCGATATGTGAAAAGTCAAACAATCGAGTGACATAATTTTGGTAGCTACAAGTTTGGCATACCAACAACTGGCATTGGCTCTGGAAACTCAAGATCATGGTCGTCTTCAACAAGTCCAAAAACATAAGGACTTCCAGGATGTGCATGCCTGCATAAATTAACAAACCACAGTAACAAGTGGTTCTAACTGAAACAGGACAAGACCTGAGTTTTCAAATAGTTGTCACCAAGCACATACATTTGAATTTAGGCCTATATATTTGAAAATTAGGGAGAATTATAATTTCTTATATTAAAGATTTTTCCACTGGTACAAGACACATCCTGTTGAACTCTAAACATTTACGGCTTTGAGCAATGATTAAGGAAGGGATTTTCAATTATCCCATTAAATGTGCATTACGTTAAATTAGTAACTACTACATGATAATTAACAAATTTAATTAAGATCCAGGCATTACAGTTCAATTCCTTATTCATTGCTCCTTGCCAATCATTGTGATATATCCATACTATTCCCACAACCATAATTTGAACTTCTGCAGTTAATGCTCAGAATGAACTGTACACTACCCCTCAGTTCGATTCCATCCTATAACAAAGGGATCTGTTGGAATATTTGTAGAAAATCAAGCTAGAGATATCACATAATCTTTGTGCTGATTCTTAGGGATCAATTATATAATTATCGATTCTCTATTTATTAGACAGATTTGTATTATATTTTAGAGGCTGATTTATAGGAGCCGTTACAGTTTTGCTTGTGTATAAATATGTACATTGTATTCAAGTTGGAAATACATCTTTTCTCTAATTGAATTCTTATATGGTATCAGAGCCTGAGGATGCAGGCTGTGTTTCTGTACTCCAACTGGTCCTGTTCCAGTTTCTTTTCCATCCGACTATAGTTCAGATTCCTATTATCTCTTTAAATCGGTGCAAGACTGCACTGTTCTTCATTCTTTCCTGTTGAGAAATTCATCACAATCCACCATCCAGCATCATGACAAAAGAAACTGTGGTATCCGAATCTTCTACCAATTTAATGACCCAAATCTATAGTGATAACTCTCCCTTGATGGGAATAATTTTCTGCAGTGGTCCCAGTTAGTCCTAATGGTTATCCGAGTAAGAGGCAAACGGGGATACCTCAATGGTAGCATCACTCGCCCTAGTTCTGCTGATAAGCAATATGAGGCGTGGGAACTCAACAACTCAATTGTGATGGCATGGCTCATAAATTATATGGAAAGCAACATCAGCTGTACCTATCTATTGTTTAAAACTGCAAAAGAAATATGGGATGCAGCCAATGGAAACTACTCTGACCTGGAAAATGCCTCCCAAGTGTTCGAGATCAAGATGAAGTTGAAAGAGATTCATCAAGGTACTTCTGAAGTAACTAACTACTATAACTGTTTGAAAGTCTTATGGCAGGAACCGGATATGTGCTATGAAGCTGATTGAGGCGAAGTCGAACAACATGTAAAATTCAAGGCACATTTGGAGAAAGAAAGACTACAATTACCGAGCAGATTTAAATCGTGACTTAGATGAGGTACGTGGGAGAATTCTGGGCCGAACCCCAATCAATTGGTGAAGCATTTGCCTGAGGTTCGCCGTGAAGAAAACCATTGACGTGTAATGCTCCGCGATCAAAAGGAAGCTAAACCAGTCTCCAATAATGGGAATCGTCCTATAGAGACCTCTGCACTTGTCTCAAAAGGACCACCCATCTTTAAGCCTCGTGAAAGCAGAGACTCGGGGCAGAACAAGCAAGGAGATCATGTATGGTGTACTCACTGCAACAGAACAGGCCACACACGGGACAAGTGTTACAAGATTCATGGATATCCATTGGCAAACAAAAATCAAACCACATCGAAGGCGCACCATACATCATCCTTGCTTGTAGCAGAGGAACTACCTACCTCAGATGAGGTAATGAATGTCCAACTGAACAGAGCGCAGTTAGAGACTCTGCACCAACTCCTCAACAAACCTATGAAAGTACGATCTAAACCCAGATTCAGGTAATGAAACTAGCCAACTAGCATTAAGAACACCTTTCAAATAAGACCAAACCTGAGAGTTGCCATTTTCTTTGAGCCTTTGCCTCAATAGATCCAAAAGAAGGAGGTGGACGTGGAGCCAACGAGTTCAGTCAAACAGCGTAACAAGTCTAACTTTAATGTCGTTTCTAAATCAAAGGTAATAACCATTGATTTCAACTCAGGGGCCTCTGATAACGTGATCGGCAACTTCTCCCTATTTCACACTTAGGCCTTGTTTGTTTTTGTTTAAAAAAATCTTTTATCAACCTTTTATGTCTGATTCGTTAAGAGGTAGGGTCATTCAGACTATTTATTTTTTCCAATTTTTCAGAGGCACTTATGTCTTATTCTTCTCTTATTTGGTAAGAAGTAAACCAGCATCTTATTTGCCTCTTATTATTCTCCAGACCCTTAGCAACAACGTTCCTCAACTGATTAACCTTAATCGATCCTTACCAAATCGATCAATATCTCTCTCAATTGATGTAAGTTAATAGGATTTAAATGTGTTAAATACCGTCAATGGCATATTTTCATTTAAATGAATGCTAATTATATAATTTAGATATATATTTCTTAATGATGATGAATAAATATGTGAAATTATATAACTTTATCTATAAATTGAACACTATAATTTTCTAATGGGCAAAATAGACAATTTAAACAAAGACATTCATCAGTTTACAAAAACAAACAGTCTTAATGATTTAGATTTCAGACTTTAGCGACATCTCTTATCAATCAGAAGTGAAATAAGACTTTAGACTTCAACACCTTTTAAAAAGCAAACACCACCTTATAGTGCCTGCCACAACCAATCCAAGGCAAGGATAGTCGATGAATCCTTCTCTCCGGTTGCAGGCACGGGCTCGGTTTGCCTCAGATCAAATCACACTCACTAAAATTATTCATGTTCCAAAACAAATACCTGGCTCTATTCTCTTCTAATCAATTGTCGTGAGCAGAAACAAGGATCGAGGAGGATGATTGGCAATGCTAAAGTCGAAGATGGACTCTATATATGAGAAAGCAACGAATCCGAGAATAAACAAGCATATTCAAGCTCTGCAGTTTCACCTTCCAATAAAGACACCATCCATGATGTGGCATCATAGACTAGGACACCCAAACTTTCAGTACCTTAAACATTTGTTTCCACAACTATTTCCAAATCAAGATCTTGGTTCTTTTATGTGTGAAATTTGTCAGTTATCAAACCATACTCATGTTCCCAATTCTCTAAAACCTTATGCTACCTCTAGATCGTTTTCATTGATTCACAGCGATATTTGGGGACCCAACCATATAAAAAACATTTCTTGATCAAAATGGTTTATCACATTTGTCGATGACCATACATGCCTATGTTCGGTTTATCTCCTTAAAGACAAATCAGAATCCCCGAAAACCTTCCAAACCTTTCACACCATGATTCAAGATCAGTTCCAAACAACAATCCACACGCTTTGTACCAATAATGGTAGGGAATACTTTAACTCCACTCTAGGAACCTACCTCTCTGATCATGGCATTATTCACCAAAGCTCATGTCTGGACACACCCCAACAAAATGGTGTCTCCAAACAAAAGAACCGACACTTGCTAGCCACAGCACATGCCCTAACGTTCACCATGCATATTCGTTCTCAGTGCATGTTACCTTATAAACGGATTACCTTCAAAAGTTCTTAGTCTACAAACACTAATTGATGTCCTAAAGAAATAATTTCCACTACTTCAAGCCTCCTCTCTTTCACCAAAAATCTCTGGACGTACAGCCTTCGTCCATTCTCGTGACCTAAATCAGTCCAGACTTGATCCTCGTGCCCACAAATGTGCCTTTATTGGCTATTCATCGACACAGAAGGATACAAGTGTTTCTCACCAACCTTGCAACAAATCTTTGTCTATAAAGACGTCACCTTTTTCGAATCTGAGCCCTATTTTCCAAGGCCTCATCTTCAATGGGAGACTCTAAATGAAGAGGAGTCCATAAATGGTCTCCTCGACCTTGAAGGTGCTGAAAATTGAGAAATTTAACACAATACTCTAACAGTTCCCATCCTAGAAAATTCATTCCTAGAACCACCACCAAACACCACACCCATCCCCGAATCTGATGGACCTGATTTGCTTGTTTATTCGAGAAGACATCGCTCTACCTGAATGGATAAATCAACGACTTTGGCTTGGCAAGAATTTGTTCCCAAAAATTGTTTTGAAAATGAACAACCATCAGTTGCTGTCTCGGACACCACAGGTCATGAAAATCTCCCAATTGCCCTTCGAAAGGGAATCCGATCATGTACAAAGCACCCCATTTCCAACTTCTTTTGTCCTATAAGAAGTTGCCTATTATCACATAGAGCATTCATCACTCATTTGGATCAGGTTGAAACTCCAAAAAACATAAAACGACGCTCTTCAATCGTCAAAATGGAAGAGTGTCTTGGAAGAACTAACAGCCTTGAAGAAAAATGAAGCATGGGAACTAAGTGACCTCCCACCAGGAAGAAGACTACGAGATGCAAATGGTTGTTCACCACCAAATACAATAGTGATGGTAGCATAAATAGGTACAAGGCAAGACTTATAGCTAAGGGATACACTCAAACGTTTGGCATTGACTATTAAGAGGCTTTTGCCCCTGTTGCAAAAACTCAATACTGAGTTTTCCTCTCCTTAGCGGCTAACCTTGATTGGTCTCTAATGCAACTAGACGTTAAAAATGCGTTCCTAAATGGTGAAATCAATGAAGAAGTTTATATGGATTTCCCCCTGGCTTTGAAGACCCCGAAGGAAAGTGTGCAGACTAAAGAAATAATGTTACAGACTAAAACAATCACCGAGGGCATGGTTTAGCCGATTCACTCAAGCGGTAACAAGTAGAGGATACAGTCAAGGACAGGCTATTCACACTGTGTTCTTCAAGCACTCAGAAAATGGTAAGATCTCAATTCATATCGTATACATTGATGACATAATCATGACAGGAGATGACTCGGAAGAAATCAACCAACTAAAAACCTACCTTAGCTCGGAGTTCAAAATGGAAGACGTTGGACCACTCAAATACTTCCTAGGAATGGAAGTTGCAAGAAGCCAAGAAGGGATCTCCATTTCATAAAGGAAGTATGTTCCCGATTTCCTAGCAAAGATAAGAATGATGGGATGTAAACTTGCTAGCACCCCAATGGAACCCAAGAAACGGGAGCTGAGGAAGATAGCCCAGAGGTTGACAAAGAGAGATATCAAAGACTAGTAGGAAAACTCATCTATCTCTCACATAAGACCTGATATCACTTTTGTTGCGAGTGTTATCAGCGAATTTATGCACTCTCCAAAGGAGAGACACATGACAGCAGCCTATAGAGTACTGAGGTACTTAAAGGGGACCCCGGGAAAAGGACTGCACTTTAAGAAAGGAGAAAACAGGTTTATTGAAGTATTCACGGATGCTGACTGGGCAGGCGCTGCCACAGACGGACGCTCTACCAGCGGATATTGCAGTTACGTATGGGGGAATCTTGTAACTTGGAGAAGTAAAAAACAACCTGCTGTGTATCGAAGCACTGTTGAGTCAGAGTTCAGAGCAGTGGCGCATGGTATATGCGATGGAATATGGCTGCAACGACTAATGGAGGAGCAACATGTACCATTCAAATCCCCTATGAAGTTGTACTGCAAAAATAAAGCAGCAGTAAGCATAGCTCACAATCCTGTTCACCATGACCGAACTAAGCACATGGAAGTAGATCGGCATTTCCTCAAAGAAAAACTTTAAATCCGGAAGAGTGTGCATGATTTACTTACCCGGCAAGTGGCCGACATACTGATAGAAGGCCTTACAAGGAGATTATTCGAAGATCTACTTGCATGCTTGGCATGATTGATATATACATGCCAGCTTGAAGGGGATGTTGGAATATTTGTAGAAAATCAAGCTAGAGATATCACATAATCTTTGTGCTGATTCTTAGGAATCAATTACATAATGATTGATTCTCTATTTATTAGATAGATCTGCATTATATTTTAGAGGTTGATTTATAGGAGCCGTTACAGCTTTACTTGTGTATAAATATGTACATTGTATTCCAATTGGAAATACATCTTTTCTCATGGAATTCTTATATGATTGTTGTTAGAGTCTCGTATTGGCTAGAGAAATTCTCCTCTATATATGTTAGAACCTCCCTTCTCTCCTCAAGGGCTCTTTTGAAGAGTAATCTAAGGGTTCCACATATTCTCACATGGTATCAGAGCTAAGATTTACCACTCTAGGGACTCGACACTCAAGAACATTCTATACTCGTCTAGCCCCTCTAACACTCCCATCTAGCCTCCTGAGGGAGCTTGTTAGAGTCCCACATCGACTAGACTTGGACAAACTCTCCTCTATATCTGTTAGGAACCTCCCTTCTCTCCTCAAGGGCTCTTTTGAAGAGTAATATAAGAGTTCTACATATTCTCACAATTGTAAAGCACAAATGCCTAGCACAGATTATTTAAGAAGAAAACCTTTTGTTCTCTACCCTCAATGCCAACAAAGCCAACATTCTAATTTGACAAGGATACCTAATGTAAATATAACTTCTCACCTCAACCTTTATCCCAGTAGTAGCTCAGGTTCAGCATATTAACATTAAGATAGCATTATAAGAAGAAATGCAGGACTTTAGTTAATAGTCAACTTGTCACATCTTTATTTGGAAGTCCCGGTGGAGTCTGCTCTCTCCAAACAATGTGATTGAAGAACCCTTGTGCCCTAGTCTGCTTAAGTTTCATGCTCCTAGCTTGTAATTTCATATGTGGTGCATTACCAAAAACTGATACGCAATTGTCAGTTTAAATTTTTGGACACTAAATATCTGTAAAATAAACAACATCAACATATTGACCATACGCAACATAGTTTCTTGCAAAAGTAGGACGCTCTTCAGGTTGTAAAGATTCCTTCATATATAAAAAAATGTTTTGCATACGTTGCTAATTTATTTTGAGGATAGAGGTAAGAACACAAAGTGGAAACAATAATCTGCCATATTATTTGCTGTATTCAAAAAAATAATCAGTCGAATGCAAAGGGAAGTTAACAAAAGATTTCAGAGCAAGATGCAAGGCCGAGCTCCGATCATGCAATTACCCAGATATAAAACGGCTTTTGCGAGAACGGGCTTGAGCTGGACCCTGAACTTCCTCCACAATGCACTACAAACACAAACATAAAGACGCTCAGACTCAACATTCATCTTACTGAAAAGAAACTAGCAGAAAATTGTGTAGCCATTATGCTTTCCACAGAAAATAAAAACCAAATTTGGCAAATGAAAACTAGACAAAGAAGAACGTCTCCCATTACAACAAAGAGACAGAAAGTGAACCAGATAAAGGCCACTCTTATACATTCAAGTTGCAGTTGGGCTAGATCGATTTAATCCTGAAAGCACAAATCTATTATGATGAGAAAACTTGATGACAATCATTCAAGACTCGACGTCTCAACCGAACCATAACACACAGGACATGACATGGCAGGCCAGGGATATAACATGCATTCTTGACAGCATCAAATGATAGAACATATGCAGAACTGAATCAGAAACCTTAAGAATCATGACCCATTATTAAAAGTACTTATGTATTTTTTAAATCACTATCCTATGCAATTGATAACATAGCTTTAGTTAGGGTCAACTAGACCTATGATAGTAAGCACAATCACAATGTTAAGTTTCTTTTCTGTATCATGAACAGTGACATGTTTCCATATACTCTATCTCGACAGAAATAATAGGAAGTAATACAATTAAGCAACTAAAATGAGCAATATAGATACGACTGACAGACTATGCTGGCAGCATCAGAGATCAAAAGGACTTACTACTGAAAACCCATTACGTGTCAGATCATCCAGTGTTTGACGTAAATTCTGCAGAAGGAAAAATAAACAATACTGATGATTTAAAAGGAGGTCCCATAGAATTGCCTGTCACAGCAATTGTAGTTAATCATCCATTTCTTTGCATTGGCATATGTGCATAAACCAGGTTTAACAACTTGGGGGGGGGGGGGCAATTTAATTGAACTTGTCTTCAAGGTGATTTATATGCAATACCACGACAGGGCAGCCAGCTTTTGGAATGCTATCTGAGCGCAGCCCACCACAAGGGTTCAAACCAGCATATTCCACAAGAATACAGGCATCAAACCCAATGGCTTCATAAAAGTCCCCAACCTACAGACATAAAAACTTCGTGAAATTGCGTTTAACATTGGTCACTGTTAAGTAAACAATTATGGAAGATCCATGCTTTCATTGACACACACTGAAATAGGAGAGACAGGACTATCAACATACCCTACAAAGTAAAACTTCCCGTGGGAACCTTGACTTGAATTTCAGTATTTCCCAATTAAGCGTTCCTTCTTTTAGACTTCACAAAATAAAAAATAAAAAGGAAAGATCACTAACACGCCATTGTCTTAAACTGAAGGCAAGTACTTCACTGGACAAGTTGGATCAAGAAGGCTTCATGTAGAGGTCCCAAGTAAACGAGACAAAGACTGTTGAATAGAGTGTAAACACAACGAAAAAACACTTGCCTCCCATTCTTCAAGTTCTCATCCAAGCCAAGAAGATTAGAGTAAGCAAGTCTTTTTACCAATTGGGCAGAAGATGTCTTAACACATATCTGCATTGTCTGAAAGAACAATTAGGCTGCTATTAGTAAGTGTAGAAGAGATAAAAAACACACATACATGAAAATAAGTAACTTTCATATCACGCTGCTTTTACAGATAACTTAGCAGAATATCTAAAATACCTCCTTCCACCACATAATGTGAGGATAATCTTTCTCCTCAAGAACATCTTTTGGTTCCCTGAGCTTTTTTGCTGATTTAGTGCTTGTAGCTTTTCTCTCTTTGGAGAAGTAGACCTGCTTAGGCAGCCTGATACTTTGAAGAAAATAAAAAGGCCATATGTTAGGTGATATGGCTAATAAGCGAGTGGCGGTTGCAAATCAGCATTGAGTACTAAGTAACCAAACTCAACAAATTTTAAAATAAAAAGAATAAATGAATCAACTATATCCCTTCCCTATCACTTTGGAAGGTACTTGCTTGGATAAATGATTAAGAACAGGCAAATATGAGATTAAACATATAGCTATTTTTTAGTAGCTACAAGAATGGAGAAGATTGTCAATGATTGGTTTGAGGATCATAATAAGTCTGTATACCAAATTAAGCAATAATCTTCAGGTCTGATGTCATGTTTAACTGGTTATACAAACCCAGCAGAGGATAAGCAGTGATCAAATTAGGTCCTTATAGGCCCCCAAGATCATGGCTTGCTCAGAAGGTCATGACTGTCAAAGCATGGTCTATAGAGATAAGATTCTTCATAATGCTTACAGAAGTATCAATAACTAACACTAAATCAAACCATTTTATGCTTGGTATTCTTATGGATAACCATTTTTCGTTTCCCTATAGCTAGTGTTAGAGAGCATCAAACTGTTTTATTTCTTATTGCAGCTTGAGTTCATTTGATTCAGATATTGCTTCAATTTGTTCCAGATATTGCCCCAATTCCAGTTCAAGCAGAATCAGAGTTGCCAAGCATATCCATGTTGTCTTAAATTTAAGGTTAATGACATATTCTACAGTTGTGTAGAGCTTGGGGAATCTCTTTCAATGTTAATCATTACCTTCTATAACTAGTATAAAGAATAACCTTTTGAACCCATAAGCATAAAACGACAGATACACGAACCCATAGAATTCAGGAAAACTTTAAGGGGAAATTTCTAACTTCCTAACCATTGGTTATGTATGAGTTAAGATACTTTTTCCATATCCTTGAAGTTGAGAATCTAAATTCCAACACAAGCTAGACAAATGAAAAGGTGCAATTAATGACCATAACTACTATCTTATTTTCCCAAAAGAAAAAACAATTATATTTGTTTAACCACATCAAGTTTAATTGAAGCAACATATACAGTAACAAGAAAGAACTGTGCTCAATTGAGACACACAATTAAAGAGAAATCTCTCCTTCCAAAAGGGAGAAATCGTTTTAAATACCAGCCAGCATTTGCCTGAACATCAGAGTAACTAAGCAAGCTAAACCAAAGTTTCAACCATGGATATCATCATGTGCAAAAGAAACCATACTATACTGTATCCCTTGAATTTCCAATCTCTAGGATATCCATCCTACCGTAGACAACGTTTTCAACTAGTTAAGGCAACAGGGCAACATATCATATATGATGTTTAATGACTATAATTGAAGCACCCATTAATGATATTTGAAACCAACCAAAAATCATTAAAAGCAAAGAACATAACAAACCGTTTCAACTTCAATTTTCTTTCTTTTCTCTTCCATGGGATTGTCTATTTACAAATAAAAGAGCATACAGTTTCCTACTTACATGCAAAAATGTCGCATATGCAACTAAAAATTAAATAAAGAAACAGCTACAAGGGAAAAGAGAGTAACAACCATGGCGTATATGATGCAAAGTAACAACCACGAATAGGGGAAGGGATGTGAAGACTGACAGAGCGCCAGGAAGGAGCTGAGAAAGCAAAGGACTTCGCCATGATGTTTGTGAAATTGATATTTTAAAATTTAGGGATTTCGTGGGTTAGAGATGGTGGAGTTCTTCCCGCCATAAAAATAAGAGAGGGTGAAGGGCTTTCCTTCAGGAACAAACGACCAGCTGGTGTGGAAGTGGAACAAGCGGTGGTCTTTTTCGCTGCTGCTCCAATGCCATCATTTGTCTTTCTTGGTTTCCTACAAAAATAAATAACCCTTCAATATATTTGTTTAACATTAAATATTGTTTAATGTTTACTTAATACTTACATGGAGTATTATTTTGAAATTAATTTGATAAAAAACTAGAAGGATGTTTGCAAAATATAGTGAGATGTATCTTAATTTGATATTTTGTTTTATTATTTATCAATGTTAATATAATATGGTTTTGAAAAAACGATAATGTTTTTATTTTTGAATAAAATATAAATTTAGAAAACAAATATATTGATATTAGTATCAAATTTATTATTTAAGGTTCTGGTTTTTTTGTGTAATTCAATATTTTATTTATAATTTAAATTTAATAACGAAATAATTTATTTATTGTTTAATAATATAATKTTTATAAARATAATAATTAAGTATTTTGTTATAACTAATGATTATYCTAATTATATTTTAGATTTTTTATATTTAAAATGAGATATATATCCCCTATTTGATTATGTTTATCTATAGTTAGTTACACAAATTCAAAAATAAAGCTTCAATAAGTTGTACTTACGCACAATTTACTTTTGATCTTAAATTTTAAATAATATGCATAATTAAACAGTACTTTATGCTTAAGAAATGGTTTTTAAAAGTTTTTGTCAAATATTTTATAATATAATTGATAACTCTCATTTTGTGAGAGTTATTTGTTGTTCAATACCCCTATTTTATTGTATCTTTGGTACCCATTTTGCTCATATTCTATATTTTTTGTCCAAATTATGTTAAGAGGTGATGAAAGGTTAAGAATTTAATTATTTTCTAAAAAAACTCATTATTGTTGGTAAATTATGCATCTAGTTAGATTTGAACAAAATTATAATTGGGAGTTAATGCTAAGTTCAAATCTAAGTACTTAGTTGCATGAAAGATTGGTCCTAGTTATGGGATGATGAGACTTGGATGAGTTCTATTTGTACCATGATGAAATGGATTTTCCATCACATTTATTGGTTGTACCTTCACCTTTTGCAACCTATCAAGAGGAGGTGACTTGGTCAAAATTGAAGAAGACATGTGGTGATGGGTGGTCATTACCCATTGGACAAAGAGTATTTGGGTCCCACCTTTCCCCTATATATTTGAAGACTTCTCTCAAGCATTAAAAACCATCTCCAATCCAACTCAATCCAACTTTTCCACCAGCACCTTGGAGCATCCTCTTAAAGCTTTGTAGTATTAGAACTAGTTTATTTTCAGTTTGTAATTTAATTTTTGTAGTTTAGCTTTTATTCTCGCCACTGTATTGTGTGCCCTCTGTGGGCACCAGTAAGTATTTATTTTCAAGTTCAAGTATTTCTTATGCATTCTTTTTCTTCTATTTCTGTTATGTTTTCTAATTTCAATATGAGCTAAGCACCCCTTTGGGTGTGGGTGTGAGTCCAACTTAAGGATTTAAGGGCACACTTGGGTGTTGCCATTTTTATTGATTCTTAAGCTTGGTCATTTAAGTCGGGATGTAAACTCAATGCGGATAAGCTGATCACTTTAAAGTGTTAATATTAGATCTTTGATCCAGAGATGGGCGGATCTGAAATATGGCTTAGATGATGCACAAAGGTTCGAGAGAGTCTTTGATAATCACACAGAGATGCGGGTTTTGCATGTTTTTAGCTTTTGTTCAGATATTAGTCGAGTTTATGCTACAATACGTTGTGAGTATAAATCTTCAGACTAGTGGAGCCAGATATCTTTTTATCTAGTAGCTAAATCAGCAAGTTTAAGATTGATAAATTTGGACGCTTTGTGGGCACTCTGTGGACACAGTATATAAGAATTCACTTTCGAGAGAAATGAGTTCTTATAGAAATCCCATGGGTTTCTGACCAAGTTGTTCCTGTAATATTCTTAAGCAAAGTTTACACCCATACCCATCTTTTAATATTAAAGGTTTATTTCGTATTTTTACGCTTTGCACCAATCAAAACTCAAATATTTTCTCAACCCGAAACATTGTTCAAGAAGTTCATGAAAGTCTCTGATTCTCAG